AGGGGTCTCCACACGGCTGCTCCAGCACCCAGGGCTGCATCGGGATAGGTCCATGTAGCTTCTCCTTGGGGATGTCTTGTAGGGAACTGCTAAGGCAGCTGCACCCGGTGCAACCATCACAAAACAAGAGACCCGAGAACTAGAAAGGCGAGGCTCATCACCCATTTATGCCTCCGCCTGTCAATTAGCCCCACATGTGATTATCAGCCAGGCTGGCACAATTAACTAACTCAGTAGAACTATCCTATAGCACTAGTGGTCATGTGCTTTCATTTCTAATCATATCTGCTCTATCCTAAGAACCTAAGACATATGACTCACCATATCAAAATCACTGTATTTTAGAACTTCAATATTTTGGGAGGGATAAAGTCCTATGGAAATAATAGATTGGAAAACAAAATAAAAGTTCCTCTTGTCCACTAACATTACCACATATGACAGAGTTCAAGAAGCATGTTTGTTAAATTCATAGAATAATGCTTGCTTCCAAAGGTGGAATCATGTTCGCTGGAATATAACCTCAAGAACACGGTGTTTGCCTATTGTAAACATACCCCGCAAGCAGCAGGCACCCAAAATGTGTTCAATGAGTGAAAGAACAATCCCGAGCTGCCAAGTTCATGCCACTAACCTGCCCTCTCAACCAATACAAATGCAAGCTACTTTAAATATCTAAGGTAAGTATAATAGCAAACAACAACAAACATAACAAAACAAACCTACCTCCTATTTTAAAGTAAGCAAGCTGTATATCACTCTAGAGCAAACATATTTAAGAGTTAACTTTTTACACAACTCTTTATTTTGAATTAAGTGAAGATTTTCCATGCAATAATTCGCACACATTTTGTTTCATCTCGTTGACTGTGATTTCTACAATGAAACCTCATTCATTCCCTTTCTTCCCAATGTTTCCTGTTTCCATTCCCAACTTCTATCCTAATCCTCTTGAACTTTGTCTCTGAGTAAATGCTACATTTTTATTTCAAAGGGCTGATTATTCTAAGGTATGTTTATCTCCCTAGTCGTATTGTTCCTCTTATAGATCTTTCCATTGCTTGGTTGAAAAGTGACCCATGAGTGTGAGGGATTTCAAGGTCGGAATGGCCACTAAGGGCATAGTCTCAGGAATTTCACCAGCTGACCAACGAGCCTGCTCTATTTTTTATGATTTTGAGTTTCATTGAGCACTATCTTTAATCTCAAATCTGAAACATAAATAATGTTCAAGACAAGTCTTTGGTTCAAACTGAAGAAGTTATACTCAACAATCTTATTTCGTCAGTACAGTTAAATGTGTGATATTTTGATGAATTTATGTGAAAAAACATAACAATGAAAAATAAAATATATTTGCAATAGCGACCATAGTAGTGAGTCATTTATAATCCGACCCTGTAACATGATCCTTTTTCCTCTAAAATTTTCTTCAACAACACAAGTTTCTAACTACACAAGCTTTCAAACCACAAAAAAGTGATAAAAGAACTTCTTTTCATTTATCTTGCTATTAAGATATACAAATATGAACATCTTCATGTACATAACGTTTAGCTCTCCTTGATTACAACCTTATCAATTAATTTTTATCACTGACATTACAGAATTGAATTATTTGATCACTGGTATTTTGCTGCATAATATGATACCCTTTCCATGTGGGCTATACACAATTACAATGCCTCAAACAAAAAGCAAGGCCACAAAGCAATTTTCTAAATAATGAAGTCTTGCCAGTCTTTATAGCTTTATAAGTATGCTAGACATTAACATATATTACCTCTCACCCTCAGAGGAAATGTCTCAGTCAGGACCATTATTCAGATTTTATAAAGGATAAAAAGAAATGCTGCGGGAAAAATTCAATTAATAGAAAATACCTAGTAGACAATATAGTTAGAATTTAAGCCTAGGGCAGTTAGATTTCTTCACTTTTTTGTATGTTTTTGTGGCACTTTCTAACGCATTGTTATGTTTATTGAGACAAAAATAATTTTAGTACAGTGAGCTACCTACAATTAGAAGCCAATATAAATTGCTATAAAACTCAAGAAATGAATGCTTAACATAATGTGATATAGAAGTTATTATGTATATATAAATGCATTAAATAATAAGCATATGAAATTAAAGTCTCTCATACTTACAATAAATGTATCTTCTACTTTTGCAATTCCTTTTCCAAATATGGTCCCTAGTTGATCTCCGACTCCGGCCAACAAAAAACCAAAGAGAGGAATTCCCAGTAAGGCATAGATGATACAGAATATTTTCCCCCCTTCTGTACGTGGTGAGATGTTTCCAAATCCTAACACAAAACAAAACAAAAAGCAACAGAGCAAAAATGATCACCTCCGAGTTGATTAAGAAACTCACAACTGTTCTAGTAATTAAAAATTCTTTGATATGTACCACATAGTCTTATAGTGTACTTTGATACACTAAGCAAAAGTTTCAGTAATACACATGCTTTAAGCAATGTCCCAAGTGTTCTTAGATAAAATCATGAAAATTAAGAAGTTAATATATGCAATAAAGTTAATATCTTCATAAATACACTCTATCTCTCTATTATTGATAATTTTATCAATATAGAGGTGATATTTTAAAAAATTTAAGCTTTTATTGACACTTATTGTCATTTATTGAGAAGAGTGGTCTTTTTATAAGAGACTAATTTTAAAAAAATGATTTTATAGGGGGCTTGTATAACTCATAACATTCCATACGTCAATTGTATCAAGCATATTTGTACATATGTTGCCATCATCATTTCCAAAGCATCTTCTACTTGAGCCCTTGGTCTAAGCGCCTCTTTTTTTCCACCTCCCTCCGCGACCCTCCTACCCTCGTGAATCCTTGATCAATTACATATTGTTATTATCATTTCATATCTTACACGGTCTGTTGAAAGAGACTAAATTTTATTCCAAACCCACACACTCCCTTCCAGAGGATTCTGACTCCTAGCAGCCCCACGTAGAGTCTCTGAGACTGCATTCTTACCAGAGCAGACAGCCTCTTCTTTCTCAGTGGAGTGGCTGAGGGGTGTGGCCTGCCAACTTCATAGATCACAGCCCCATGCTTAACTTTAGTCAAGTAATTATCAACAACAAAAAGCAATTGTGCCTACCTACTGAAGAATTCTTTTAGTGTACCTACTTATCAAGAATTTTAGCTTTTTTCTTTTTGTTCTTAGCATCCATTGAGTTGATAGAGCAGAAATGCCACTGATTTGAACCCAGCAGATGCTCTGTGGGAGAAGATGCTGCGGTCCGATTCTGTCCAATGGCAGCCTTGCAAACCTCACGAGGAAGTGACTCTCTGTCTTAAAGGGCCCCTGTTTAGGTGCTGGCTTAACTGTATGTGTTTATGACATTAGAATAATTAACCACTGTGCCACCACGGTGCTACCAGCTGAGCATTTAATCATTGTGCCACTAGGGCTCCTTCCCCAAATGCCTCTACCATTGAATCAATCCCATTTCACAACAGCCTATAAGGCAGGGTAGATCTTCCCCTATGGGTTTCTGAGCCTGTAACTATTCACAGGATAGAAAGCTGCAACTTCTCTCGCAGAGCGGCTGGTGCTTTAAATTGCTGGATGATGGTTTGCAGGCCACCGTGTAACCACTACACTGCCAGAGCTCCTACATCCCTCTGAGAATGGCAGCACTCCAAAACCCAGACACCACCATCAGCTGGTGAGGAAGTGGAAAACCAGGAGCTCGCATTCACTGCTAGTGGGACTACAGAATGGCACAGCACTTTGTAAGACAGTCTGGTAGTTTTTTATGGCTATGTATGGGTTTACCTATGATCAAGCTGTGCTCCTAGTATTTACCCAAATGAGTGAAAAACTGTATATTCACAGAAAAATCTGCATATGAAACTTTATAACCATTTTATTAATAAGTGCCCCAAATTAAAAGCGACCAAGGTTTCCTCAAGAGGTGGCCCGATAAACAGACGGTGGGATTGCCCTGCAATGGAGTATTTTCCCACAAGAAACAGAACGGAGCTATCAAGCTACAAACCCAGGTGGAAGGACGTTAACAACATATTGCTACACGAAGGCCGCTCCTCTGAAAAAGCTCCCTCCACACTGTGAGTCCAACGAGAGGGCGTTCTGAAAGGGTAAGACTGGACCAGCAGCTGCTAAGACTGAGGAGGCTGGGTGTGGGAGGGGGAGGACAGCTCTATGGGACACTGGGCATTTCCAGGTAGTGAAAATCTTCTTAATGCTACTTTGTGGTTGTCACACGTTATGGAATTGTCAAAACACAAGACGGTACAGCACAAGAATAAACTTAACATAGATGTGGACTTCAGTTAATAAGAAGGTATTGATAGGTAGATATGCACTGCAATAAACGCACAACCCAAATGCAGAAGTGTGAGACGTGAATCAAAGGGGAAACGGGGCAGGGGTGAGAGGCACATGGGAAGTTTTGTATATTTTCACAATGTCCCTGTAAACCAACCTGCTTTAAGAAATAATCTATTAACAAGTAACAAACCCCCACCCTAAGGGTTGAACATTATTTTATGATCATTCCTGAATCTACCCCTCACTAAGTAAGTGACTTTGGGCCATTCATTTCCTCATCTGTTAAATGAATATACAGTTACTATTGCCGGGTCCATGCAATCAAAAGAACACAGTGTCATATTACAGGAAATGTCTTAACACGGTTCTATATTATTGTATGTGCTCAACATATGTTTGGCCCCAAAATGATTATTTTAATTACTGTTTGTAGTAATAATAGCAGATTAAAGATTACAGGATCAGTGTATTGAGCCCTATCAATATGCAGTTTCATAATCAGAGTAATGAGGCCAAGGTTGCTCTTTGCTCTGCACTATATTTGGAAGTTTTCTGGTAAATTGTGGGTGTCATTCTGTTTAAGGAAATTCAGCAGAGGAACAGAGGAAGGCACCTTTTCCCACTGGGAAAATGGGAACCCCAAGGATTTGAGGCATTTGTTCTGAAGAAGAGAGAACTACGAATGGGGAGAGGCAGGTGAAATGATTTAAACTAGTTGAATGATTATAACATGGAATTAAGAATGGACTTACTTTGCTTTAAGGCAGAGAAAAAAGTAATGGATGCAAACTATAGAAAGAGAGCCCATGCTAAAATAACCACTGCCAAAATCAGGTGGTGGCGAGAAGTAGGCCGGGGCCAGATAATCGCCTATAGTGCTTAAAATGTTGGACCTATGCGTGTTCTAGGATTCCTTACAATGCATATCTGATATGATTCAATATGTATATCATAGTTGACCATAGGTTATAGCTACTCACTCATATATTCAAGTATTTGTTGTGCTTTTACTGTTAGCCAGGTACTGTGCTAAGCAAGAAGGAGTCCTGGTAGTGTTTTGGACTAAGTATTGGGTATACGTATACCTCAAGGATAATAATTGAAGCTTTCCATCTGCTCCACAGGAGAAAGTTAAGGCTGTCTGTTCCTGTAGAGACATTACAGTCTTGGGAACGTTATATAAGGTGTCTATGAGTCAAAACCAACTGATGAAACAGGTTGGATGCTAGGCACTGGCGAAGCATCTGTGAAGTAGGCCGATCTGACCCACGCTCTCCGAGCTCCCAGTGCAGTGAGGAACTAGTTATATGCACACGGCACAAAGAACAAGGTGTGCTTGGCACATACACATTTTGGAATGTGACAAGCTGATTAGGAGTTCGTCAAGGGAAAGGGAGAAGTAATGTTAGTAGCAAAACTGTAGAGCCATGACTGTAAAGTTTTGGAGGACCAAAGAGAAACCGAGTATTCCAGTGGAAGGGAGCATGGCCACCGATGAGCAAGGGAAAGGCAGCTGAGGCGGCACAGAGAAGCACCACTCACATCCACCCTAAAGAACTGGGGCCATGCTGTGGGCTGGGACCCTGCACGCTACGAATAACAGGGTCCCATTTGCCATTTTTGAAGTTAATTCTGGCTACCGAGAGAAGGGTGTGTAGAAGGAGTCCCAAAGAAGAAAGAAGGACCAGGATGATGCCCAGGTTCTGAGAAGGGCAATGGATAGGTCTCCACAGTATTTTCTCTCATTTTAGTTAAATGCTTTTGCCCTCTAGGACAGTGGTTCTCAACCTTCCTAATGCCACCACCCTTTCATACAGTTCCTCCTGTGGTGGTGACCCCCAACCATAACATTATTTTCATTGCTACTTCATCACTGTCATTTTGCTACTGTTATGAATCATCATGTAAATATCTGACATGCAGGATGTATTTTCATTGCTACAACTTGAACATAACTAAAGTATAGTGATTAATCACAAAACAATATGTCATTAGATAGTGTGAAATATTTATTTCTAATGACAAATAAATAAGATGTCGTCTTGAAGTATGGTGTAGCATGGGTAACAGTCTTCCCACCGGATGCTGGTATGTGGGCATAGCTGTATGTGGGCGGACCCACCTGGAGACGGAGAGAGGAGCAGTGTCTCCGTTCCTAAGACCATCAGAAATATGTGTTTTCTGATGATCTTAGACGACCCCTGTAAGAGGGTCGTTCGACCCCCAAAGGGGTCACCACCCACAGGTTGAGAACCGCTGGCCTAGTAGATTCCAACTCATAAAAGGGCAGGCTTAGGGAACACGGCTGGCATGGAGGAAGGTAAGGAAGGAGAAACCTATTGCATGAGGCAGTTAGGAGTTTGGAAACCCCAAACAGCCGCCTGAGCTGCAAATACAGATAAGAGAGTAGATGAGAACTAAGGAAATGGGTGAAGACTCAAAAGAGAAGAAAGTTTAATATAAATCCCCAAGGATAATCAGCATTTAAAGTGAGGAGATAAAGAGGAGGTGCCATCTCCAGGAAACCTCCCTGGAAGGATGAAGGATACTATGTTGGGGCACAGGAGCTAGTAATGGAGCCTCTGTCCTTAGTCTGGAGTTAGTACTCCTTCGTTGGAATACTCTAGTCTAGAACTGCCCAGGAAGGGGAGGCTGGCCAGACCAGAAAAGAGGCCAATATCAGCCTTCGGAGCCAAGGTTCAGCCAATCAGGAAGGGCTAGTCAATAAAAGCATCGAACACTGAGATTGAGAGAAAATCCTGGTTGATGAGAACACCTGCTCTCAGGAGGACAGTATGTCTTTTGGAACATGAAACCTTAGCAGTGTGAGCCCTCCCAGACCTTGTATCATGAGTCTATTCACTTGTATCCTTTGTGATTATAATAAATCTGTAATCAAAGGTAGGGCTGTAATCAAAAGTATGGTGTAAGCAAGTCAGAAACCGGGGATGTCTTGTGGACTCCTGAGTTTGTGACTG